CTTTTCATTTTCCTGGTCCAGGGGAGTTCTTCAAAGTTTGCTGTCCTTTAGCAATAGTTCCTTTCAAACCTACTATAATCTTTTTGAAATCATCTTGTGAAAGTGTGATCTGATTCTCTTGAGATTTAGAAGAGATAGTTTGTGAAACAGGTTGAGATTGTGAAGATGCTATAATATCTTTTACCAGATTTTCAATTTCTTTTTTAGTTATACTCATATTGTTTGAGTAATTATCTTTATCACGAGATTTAGTTAATGATTTATAACTAGACTGGGGTATTTTAGTAACTAATCCTAATTTTTTCTCTGCTCTCTGCATTTCAATCCATTCCAAAATTTCAAAAAGATCAGCTAATGGTTATTCAGTACCTATACGCTCTGCATCATCCTCCAAGTCTAGAGATAAATCTCATAGAAATTGACCTTTAATCTGTTACTCATCAAAATTAAGCATTTTCCCATATTTTAAGAGTTTTGAGTAAAATTCTCCTATAGGTTCACTCCCCTGAACTAATGATCTATAAACTAAATTGCATTTCTCACTAATTACTGTGGGATATTGAGTTCTAAACCAATATAATGCTTGACCAATTTGAATATCTCCAAATACTATTGGATTGTTGTTACCAGCATTTATTACATTAACAGATCTATCTGATGGTTGTCCCCCAGCTAAGCGCCAATCTTCAGTAAAAGCTTCAGCTAGAATCATTGAAACTCCTACTATTACCGCATTATTACCAGTAATATTTGCATAGTCATGAATAATTGAAAAGTTTCTAAAACTATTGCTAGTATTTATTTGTGCCATAGTACGAGCCTGGAGATTACCCATACTAGCCTGACCATGATTTGCAAAAATATTATGAAGTTTCCAACACTTACCAAGAATTTTTTAATCAAACTATTCTAATGCTCACCCGGATAAACATTCTTGAAGAATATCAAATGCTTGATCTTGAGCATCAACTGGATTTATACAGTACCAGCTAGATATGACAATAATTGACTAATAAAAATATCAATATCCTCATCATATTCACCTGAAAAATTTGGTAATGGTAGTGATTATAATGCTATATTTATTTGTATATTATTCTGAAGTGCAAAAATTTGCTGATTCAAATTATTAATTAATTGCTGGTTGGCGATATTTTGGATCTGCTCAATATCAAGGTCATCCTCAGCAATTTCTAAATCAGTAAGAATTTGTTCCTGTCTATTATCATCAAGAGCCTTTTGATTTTTGAAATTTCATAGCTCTTGTTGCAATCAGTAAATTTCTGTCTTGTATAATTTTTCAAGAGCACATTTGAATTTGGATTACCTGTTCCATGTCAAACTCGCATTTCTCCATACATCACCCCACTGATTATATTTTTGTTAGGCTTTTGCCAAAGCAGTAACTAGATAATAATTTAAAACATAACTTATATTTTTTTCATACAAATCTCTGGCCCTTTTTCTCTCAAGAATTTGAAATGAAAGATCACTATAATAGAGATACCTCTGAAAGATAATATTTTGCTGGCCTAATAAATCAATATCTTGTTGATGTAAATTCACTTGGCCTTGTAAAGCATCATGCTCATTTCTGATATTATCAAAATTTTGTCATAATGTATTATGACGTGTATTGAGTTAAGCATGGTTTTGATGCAAATTTCTAGTGAATCATCTAATATTATTTAAGAATCCATCAATTCTATTAACTAATCTTTTAGTAGGTATGCAGAGGTGATTTGTTGGAGTGAATTGTGCTAAGATTCATTGTATACCATCTTGAATATCAGTCAAATAATCTTTAATAGTTCTATCTTGTCTAATGCAAGCTATATTATCCAATATTATATCTTGATCTGGAGATTATCCACAAATTGGTGAATTTTCATGAGATGTAATTACTCTAATTCTATACTTCAAACTAGATATAGTCTCATAATATTCCTGTAACTTGTTTTCTATATGAGCAGTATAACTATCCTTGTCTTGGATCTCCTTTTTGGTTTGATAAAGCTCTTTTTTTAGAGATGATATTTCAAATCTAAGCTCTTTATTTTCTTCATCAGATGATACAATAGCAAATTCTTTTCAAGAGATCTCTCTCTCACAATTAGCAAGATCATGCTCTAACTGCTTAATCTATTTTTTCTTAGCTTTATTATTTGAAATTTCGATAGATAATTCATCTCTTAAAATCTGATTAATTTATTCTAGCTCGAGTTCTTTATCTGTAGCTGATTTATGAGTTGTTCAATTGGGAGGTCAGAATCTATGAAATGCCATAGTTATTATGAAGTAATAAGACTCTGTCTCTATTTTTTATAGCATATTATATTATCTTATCTCTTGACTTTGTTATAATAAGTAATATCAAAAATAAGTAGGTTCTTAGACCATGCTTCACATAGATTGAGCAAACCTATTATTAGAATCAATCTAAATAAGGAATTGCAAATTGTCCTAAGTATGTTTTATTACCAACCTATTGGTTATTATTTTAACTCTTAAAAGCTATATAATGCTATTAGAGATAAAGGATATAATTTTCCATATAAAAAAGTTTGTGAATGGCTTTCTAGGCAGAATGAATGATAAAAATACATCTCATTACCAAAAAATACTCCACAGATTAGTTATGATAAAATCAGTCACCCGAATTATATATATATGTGTGATTTGCTATATCTTACAAATGATACAGTTAATAGAAAGACATACAAATAGGCACTTACTATTATAGATATCGTATCATGTTTTAAATGCACTGTTCTCCTAATATCAAAGAATAGTTCTGAAGTTGCTAAAGTATTTAAGAAAATTTATGATAATTCAAATAATTCTCTTACGTACCTGATACTTCTACAATATAATGGTGGTAAAGAATTCATGGGTGAAACTGCTTGATTAATAGAAGTGTATAATGTCACAATTCAAGTAATTGGTACATATAGTCACAGAGGATTAGCTCTCATGAAATACTTTAATAAAACTTTAGCAGAAATACTATATAAAATTCAATATACTGTTGAAAGTATAACTTTGAACTCTAAATTAATAAGAGAGTGGATTAAGTATTTGCCAGAAGTTATTGATTACTTAAATAATTATCCAACATGTCTTATTCGAGTTCCAGATTCTACAAAGTGGGACTTAGCTCCAGCAAAAGCTATTAAACTAGAATGAGTAAAATCTAGGCCATCTACAAAGTACAAGCATCTAATTAGAAAAAATAAGGAAAATAGGCTGAAGAAAGATGATACAATTTGTTATCTGCTTGTCAATGTGAAGTGGGAAGGAGGTATGGAGAATCAAAAAAGGGCTACAGATCTAATGTTTTTACTTTCTTTACATAAAATCTGCAAAATTGTGATAATGAAAAATGAATTAGTTTTATATTATCTCAGAAGCGATGATGATGAATATCCTCCAAAGTGGGGATTTGTGAGAGAGAAGCTCATGTATGTAGATTTAGAAAAACTTCAGTATCCACTCCAGAGTATATTGGAAGAAAATAGTCATTCCAAATCTATTAATTTCATTTGTATTATTAATAAAATGGCTAAGACTAAAGAGTATGCAAAGAAGTGCGACAGAAAATGTCTTGGTAAAACTGGTCAAATAAACAATTTTGATATATATCTTTGATTATGTGAAAATAGAAAGCATCAGTGATATGCATCTTATAAGATCCAGAAGCATAAATTTAAATAGTACCCCCTATGTTCTCATTTTAAAGAAGAATGATCCGTGAGATATATTTTCAAAGATCTGCTTGATAAAAAATTTCCATCATGTAAACTATCATTTTTGAATGGGGATGCAATTAGATGGGTATAATCAAGAATTAAAATTAGCATTCAAATTCCAGAGGTCTCAATATTTTTCTGAAAATCCAATATTCTATAAGGAAGACAAGATAGACTTAGATAGCCAACAGACACGTGACCAAAAAAAGCAAGATGTATGTAAAAAAGAGAGTATAGATCTTATCGAAGTGCCTTATACATGTGATTTATTTCCCTATATAAAAAGCAAATTACAAAAGAGAGGATATTTATCATATAAAGAATAAATATTACTTGGCTTAATCAAGATGAAAGAAGAAAAAATGCCCATATTTGTATACAATATTGACGAGACATCAAAAAAATCCTCAGAACGAATGAAGGGCAACAAATTTAGTCCAGATGCCCCATTCAGATTGCTGGTATATGGAGGGTCCAATAGCGGAAAAACCAATATGGTAATTAATCTTATGCTAGGCAATAAATTACAACTATTGTTTAAAGGTAAGAAAGGAAATCGTTATATCAAAAATGATGACCTTGTATTGATAGGTAAACATTTTGAGCCGAAATGGCAACTTGTACAAAATAGCTTTCAGATCTTTGCGAATGCCCCTAAACCATATCGAGAAAATGTCACATTCAGAAGAATATCTCCAGATAAAATTCCAGATATAACTAAATTCTCTCCAGAGCGAAGTACAGTTGTTGTATTCGAGGATCTATGCGCCGAATCGAAAAAAGTACAAGAACGAATTATTCCTTACTTCATTAGTGGTCGGCATCAAAATATCTCACCCGTATATGTAAGCCAGAAATATACCCAAACACTTAAAATAATTCGTGAAAATATTTCGCACTTATGCTTATTCCGGGGGGCTGGGAGCCGAGATGACATTTGCAGAATCGTGCGACAATATACGGATAATCCGAAAAAAGCTTCTAAGATTATTGATAAGCATTTGCGAGATCGAAAATTTGTGGTTTTTGATTTTACTAAGGCCATTGATGATCCTTTTGCAATTAGATTAGGTTGGGACACGTCCTTAAAATTGGATGAATAGGGCTTGATCCGCCTTTTTTGCAATTCCAGTAAGAAATTTCATGTTATATTACAGTATGTAAGCGAAATCTTAATATTATTTTATTAAGAATGAATATCACAAGCACAGTAAAGAAACGATATTCTATTATTAAAATTCTATTCAAACATTATTTACGTTTAACTATTTCTTTAAACTGCGGTGTTCTCAACGTAGCTCTCAACCTATTTATGATTTCTACAGGGACATTACCATTTTCTTTCTTTTTGTTAATATAATCACGAAGCCTTTGCACTTCATTCTCGTATTTTTCCTGGGATTCGCAACAAATGTCACTGGTTAGTTTTAAGAATAATAAGTCAGAAAAGAATATCGAAAATGTTAATTTAAGCATACAGTGAATGTGAACAAATTGTCAATGCCATTAATGAATTGTCCGCAGGTTTGAAAGGACTTTGGAAGTTCAGTTTCGCCAGTATCGAACATAATATAGAGTCCTGGAGTGGTCAAAACCATGATATAACCCGTCCATATTGTCACTACCATGCCATATATACGTGAGTACACAAAAAAATTCAGAAACATTATAATGATTATGAAATGAACACTTACCTATTGTTTGCCACGCAAAAATCATATGATCTTCCCCTGTCTTCTTAATGAGAAGATCAAGAGCATCCTTCATGAAAATGCCTAGCCTGATAAGATCTAAGTTGTTCTTCTTTTCGTTGTTGTTTTTTCCTTCTCCTGTTATCTCACCAAACATAATTTCGTATTTGGTTTTGTTGTTATTCACAACATTTCCGATCATGTCTGGTTGCTTTGCTCGTGAGGGATCTAGATCGGCAAGTTTACGGATTTTGCTACTCATACTGGCAGTGTTGGGCCAAATGGCCGGATGTATTGAAGCATCGTGAAAGAAGGAGCGCAATACTGGACTAATAATGTTGGCAGTCAGAGTGCCCTCACTAAGATGGTCCTTCAATGGCTTAACAGGAATATTTTTCGTTCTGTGAAATAGATAAAAAATGTTATAACCAGCTGGACATACAAGAAATAAAAGCATCATGAATTTGGACTTACAACTGTAGAAAGATAAACCGTATCCTTTCAAACCTTTTCTGGTCAATGGGGTTATCAAAGGACTTTGTGAATAATCGTTCTACGCTTCTTTCAGCCCAAGATCTTCATCAAGTGCGGTCTAATACACCAAAACCACCATATAAAAAGTTATAATATGTAACTTTTCGAGAAAAAAAATACATTAATACAATAATACCTCGATACATTCTCGAAATATCGTCTTTACGCCTTGCGCAACTTTTGTTTTCACTATATACGTATTGCGCATATATTTATGAAAATCTACTAGAGTATCACCGGAGAAATGTTCAATCTGCAGATCCGAGAAATTATCAGCTTGTAACAATAAAATATGCGATAAGCTCCTAATGTTTCCAAACGATTAGTGTTAAGCTTTTGATAATTCATACAAGAGAATATTCAAACTTACAATATCTCACGGTAGTCTGTTTCGATAGATAAACCTGATTCTCGCGCCATTTGCCATGCTTTTAAGCGATATGATGTAAATAGCGCAGATATATTCTTCTCATGAAACATATACTATATATTGCAAAGACACTTATTAGCAAAGATCAAAACATATTAACTGGTAGAAATGAGAAGAAAGAAACTCACGGGATTGTCTTCACCGCTTTCATCAAGGGCAACCGAATCGTCCAAGAAAACTCTCTCTCGATTATCATCATCATCCGCGTCATTATCATCTACATATTCATCGAATGTAAGATTCCTGGGGTCTCGGTTATCTGCATCAAAATCATTATCGGTTTCTTCGTCACTTTCACTTCTTGTGGTTGGAGAAATGATGGAACTCGGAGAAAATATTTGATGTTCAGGTGTTCGTGGTGGATGGGGAGGAGTGACAACGCGTGGAGGAGGGATTTGAACGTTATAGATAGGTTGAAGATTCTCACCGTCTATTCTTGCTTGTTTTCTCTGCAACTCCTCGTGATAGTCCTAAAGGATTAAAATATAAATAATTAGTTCTGCCATTTACACTTTCCCAACTAAAAATATATCTACCTCTTGATCTCTTTTTTTTGATGCGAATGATTTAACACCAAAAGTCCCTCCGCTGATAGTTCCAGTTCCGTTTACAGTTTCAACTGTTCCGCCAGACACATATGCACCATTTATCGGACCACTTACAGTCCCGTTTATAGTTGGTTGATAGAGGTGGACCTGTTTATGCGAACGCTCCTTCTCCCACCTCCTTGCTAATTCGTGATCGGGTTTAGGTTCCTAGCAATGTAATAATATTCGGGTAATTAACAATATTCACAATTAACGCGTAATAATTCATCTGATTTCTCATCCCATCTGAACATCAGCCAAGCTAAAAGGTTGCCTGTGCCCAAATGGGACCAGCGTTAGATCGACTAAAAGACTTTTAACAACAGCCAAGCTAAAAGGTTGCCTGTGCCCTAACACTGGTTTTGTGGCTCGACTAAAAGACCTGAATGGTAAAGAAGCTAAAAGAATTCCCACCACGCCACGTCTACAGTTTCAATAAAAAAATTTTTTCAAATACCATTCTATACTTAACATAGAGAGCTTTTGCCTTTTCACGCTTCCTCCCTTGATCACTATTGATAATATTCACGAGACTTTTAAGATATATATCCACTTTGAATCGAAACGGTTCTTCGTTACATTCGTTTAGAAATCCGGTAATACTCCACTCAGTATGTTTACGACTAAAATACTCGTGTATATACATTTTATCGCGTAGTTGGAGTTCGTACGGTTTTACAAATGATTTGCAGAGTATCACCTATTATATCATATACAGTCATCCCCCCCTATAAGCACACTCCTATATAGTCACAACCCCCTTATAGTCACCATTTTTCTTGGAACCAACCGATTTCATAATAAATTTACCCCTATATACGCACATTCTGCTTATAGTCACTGTCACACTGCCCGTAAGACCGATTTCATAGCAGTTTATAGTAAATTTCCCCCCTTTAGTCACATTAGCAAAAAACAATCACATGCTTTATGCAATCTGATAGGATAAACGTGATCAACTGATAATAAGCATGTCTTGTGCTTTAAAATGTAACACCGTATTAATATATAAAGGCCGTCAACGAACCATTAGCAATCTGACTGAGGCTGATATAGTGTCTATGGTTAAGGCTGATGCTATGCTAGAATCTGAGACTGTACTCTCAGACACTGATTATCATGAAGGAAATGAAATTGTAGTGTCTAAGATAGAGGCGCTGGGCCCACCTGATGAAAGGTCTTATTCAGTTCCAAGAGCAATCTCCCGACGAAGTATTTACTTCAGATGAACTGAATGTTCTGCGTCGCAAGATATCTACTTTTGAATATTTGATAGATAAAGCAAAAAAGCAATCATTGCTAGATTGTTATTTGGAAAAATAATTACTGTGTACGCGCATATAATAACAATAATAAAATCATATATTAATATGATATGTAAACTTTGTGACACGTATACGTCATAAATACTGTGACCCTCAATCTAAAATTGATTTGCTTTGCCAAGAAAAAATAATAATAGCCAGCGACACAAAAGATAACTTAGCATACAATAATTAAAAGATCAGGCACGTAGTGCTATAATCATATCTTTAATTTTTTTAAAAAATAAATATATTGAGAGTTAGAGGTTGGCTAAGAAAAATATAGAGAAGCAGGATTCCAAGGAAGGAAATCTGCTGAGCCCTAACCCATATGATGACAGTTCCTTTCCCGCTACTCACTACCTAGATTATTTGTTTTACTATCAATCCATAAATCAATTTGATCTAGAGTACTAATATAACCATTCTTCTTTTTAATATTTCTTTCATAAAACCCTTGTATCATCGCCTTCTTAATATTTCCTCCCAATGAATGAATATCCATAGCTACAGAAAGGCACATCTTCTCCAAAGTATAATTATTTTTGGTCATGATCCAATCAAAAATTTGCTTAAATTGATTCCAGATGGTCAAACTGATATCTGTGAATGTTAATTGTTCTGAGCTTGTAGAAGAATGATTTAAAGCTTGATCTGCAGAATAATTTGAAGCTTGACCTGCAGAATGATTAGAAGCTTGACTTATCACGTTCTGTTGATTGAATTTAATCTCTTCAGTTCTTAGAATCATCGCATAATGTTGATTTATTTCACTTTAAAGAGTTATGATAAAAGCATTAATTGATTCAAATTCAGTTGCGACTCTGCCAAAATTGTTATGGTAGTTTTGAAGAACTTGTTCAATCTCATCAAGTCTCACAGTAGAAGTATTAAGTATTATTAAGATTCTTTGAATCTCTGTTGTAAAATTTTTATCATGTGAGGTGAGTTCAGCATTAAATTTGGCACAGTGATCAGTAAGTTCGGTTAAGAACTTGGTATCATGATTGGCAAGAATTTCATTAAATGTTGTATCACATGCAAAAGAGTCAGAATTATGCTTGATATTGATGTCTTTCTTGGTGATACATGAAAAATAAAATATGATACCAATGAGTAAGTAAATGGAGATTTTCTCAATAAATATCAATAGGCCTGCAAAATTCAAAAATGGAGCGATCTCCAAAATAGCAAGTGATATCATCTATAAGTAGAAATTAGTTGTATTAGCATACATACACAAATGCAAAGGAGTGTCATAGCATATAAATAAATAAACAAATCTTAATCATTAAAAATTAGATATTATTTCAAGTATATGAATCTTTTTATTTATTGTGAGTAAGATTTATTAAAATTTGTTAAATGTTTTATTCTCCAATCATTTATTATTATAACGAAGGAGTAAAAGAGGGATCTCAAATATTTTTTCTTCATCTTTTTATATAAAAAATTACAGATCAGAATTTATTTATAGACTTGGATGGGAGAGAACCAGAACTTTTTTATTGAAAGCAGGCCTATAGGGATAACTCAGATATGTAAGTATTATTTTTCAAAATAAGAGTCATGAATAATCCCCATCCTTACGTGTTAATTAGATCAATAATTGTCTACTCTTATCTTATTGACATTAGCAATCAGATATCTGTTACTTGTATCACCAACTTTAATAATTATTACAAATTAATTGATCTTCTAACTAACCTGATTAATTTCTTTTTATAATAGACTTGCCTTCGATCTGCATTTTTTAATGACAGAAGTACTAAAAAGTATCTCCTGAGATTTGCTGATTACTTTTGCTAAAGTTAATATATGATCTGTAATTATTAAGATACTCCTGATTGATTATATAATACAGACACCATTACTTCATAATATACATATCACAGAATAAAATTAAAGATCATGGAACCTTTCATACATGATATAATTATATGATTACTGTGACTAATAAAATTACATGCCTGAAAAATTAATTGTGTAATACAAATATTCAATCAATCTATATCATAGAATAAATTAGAAGATCATGGAACTTCTGCATACATGATGTAATTATATAATCTGCTGATTGCTACAATCAATATACCACAGAATAAATTAGAAGGTCATGGAACTTTTCATACATGATATAATCATGTAATCCATTAATTGTTGTCACAAATTCCAAATCTAATTATCTAACTTGTGATATACGTATTTTCTTTGTAAAAAATTTTTTTATCATGCATTTGTATCACTCCAGTTCCACATTCTCTAAATCTACTATTCCCATATTTAAATGAGATCAGAAATGAGTGGAGGGAGCATTTTAAAAGGATAGTATATTTGCATTATGGTTATTCATTATTTTTACTTACAATATAACAAAGCTAATATTATTTCCAATAACTATACAAATATGTCTATCAATTTGTATAATAACATCTATGAATTCTTGATAACTGCCAAAGAATACCAAATAAATACTATATTTGTTATATATCTTGGAATGAAAGAAGACTGCTAGATTTCACAAAATAAATTAAGATCAATCATAGACCAAGTTATAGCTTACGCTAGTAATATATACATGGATACTTTATCACGCCAATTAAGAATTCTGTAAATTCTCCTATAGATTAGTTATTTATATGAATTATATTCTAAAATTATCAATGTTATATGATGATATTATGTGATCCATTCACAAAGATAAGTGCTGAATAAATAGTCAAATTCTTTGATTATTACTTATGTTCACTCATCCTACTAGCCTGCTTACCAATAGATACTTGCTCATAGTAAAGGAATGTTTAAACTATAGTCTGTTATACAGGATATAGCATTCTACCAACCTGCTATAAGAAAAATCTATTATCTTGATGAGAGGGTGTTTAAGATATAAGTTACTATGTTACTTTATAGTATCATATAGAGTTTCATCAGCGTGATGGCCATACAAAGATGTTAACTTTGCATATATACTAATAATATACGTTATTTTAATAATGAAAATTTTTATATTTTTGAAAAATTAATGTATATTTTTTATATTAGTTTGATAGCATCTTTAAAGGAGTTTGCATCTTATATGATATAGAAACAATTAAAACAAACAAGAAGAACCCCTCTCAGCTTTGATCAAATTGAGAAAAATATAATTAAGATGAAGGAGAAGCTCAGAAAAGATATCATACTCCTTTGTCAGCATCTATATTTAACAGTGAATACTCTATCTATTCAAGAATTAACTTGGAAAGATCTCCTTGCAAATCAAATTATTAGCGATGACTTAGAACTCGTAGAATGATTACTGAAAAATCTAAAAAAGATATTTATAGTATGTTAATAGTAATAATATATATAGAAATCACTGATAGTTTTTTTAATAACATATGTAACTATAATATTCTATCAATACTCCAATAAAAATCTGCTCAACTGATAAAGCCCGCTCTTATACTAAAGGTCAAAGAAATGTGTGAGAAATTCGTATCAAATTTTATTAGTCGTAGTTATCAGAATACGCCACCTGAAAAACTTATCCATAATGGAATGTGAAAAGAATCTGAGAAAAAAATATCAGACATTACAAAAGAACTTTTTTCTCTTCTCAAAGATATTTTGAATAATCTAATCTTTAGTTTTGAACTTGCAAAATCATTAAATGAAGACACCTACCAATCGATAGTCATTTTATTATTAATTCAGGTGATATTAAAAAATCTTCCTTTTAGATTGTCTTCATTTATCAGTACATTAGAATGATAAAGTATTGCTAATGTCGATAGAAAGAGTAAAGGACAAGTGGGAAGATGACCTGATATTATATTTATATTAAAATATTTAGAGATTTTCTTTGAGCTTCTATACATAGAATGCTCCTAATTATATTACACTTGGCAGAAAAAGAAGGATGATGAGATAAAGTTATGGTATGAGACAAATAATGATATGTATTATGTTTGCAAAGTTCTTAAATTAGATAAAGATCAATTTGGAATAGTTGGAGTATAAATAGTGGGAAATATATTACATCTGAACATTCTTGTCAGGAATAGAGCTAATATGCATCAATATTACTATTTATAATCTGCTGAAATTCCTGTACAATTATCTGATGCAAATATCATAGCTAATTTTATAGAAACTCTTTTATATTTACATAACATATTAATTATAAATGTATCTCTGCTATATCATGTATCTATCTCTACATCGCAAAGACAAATGGAAGATAATATTACAATTTCCACTTTATGAGATAATAACTAGACTTCATTATATGTACTTTTTATATCTTATATTTATCCCAATAAAGATTACTCTGATGGCTGGATTATTATATACTTTGTGTGATATATGTGATTAGGTATTTGCCAACCTCTGGCTAAATTTTTCAGATAATTATTACGCATTATTTATTGAACACATGATCAAGTATCAAGTTCATTATATATTGGAAAATTAAATCATATGCATGATGTTTGTAGTACATCCATCCAAAATAGATTTAACCCTGAAATAGATCATGTAATAATTATTCCAGATATAGAATGATGCATTATTTAAACTAGCTATCTTTCTATCACTTGACTATGTATGTTCCATGAGATATGAAGTGTCATTTCTCTGAAATACTTTTATATCGATCCTATCTATAATGTGATTGGTTGATAAATTTCTGATCATTAACAGTTTTTTAATTATTCTGATTAGATGAATCACTACTCTGGAGAATAGGCCTTATTACAAAGCTTATTTTTATGATGTTTTTGGATAGAAAAAACAATCTTTTTCTTTTTAACATGAAAGTAAGTTTTATTGAGTCGAGATCATATCAGTCTTCTATTCTATTGCTGGTTATGTATATCCCATAGGCTGATCTCTAATTTGCAAATTTAAAATACATGATATCACTCCATTATAATGTGATGTGATTTTGTGATTACGATATGATTATAATTATTTTCAGATTGAATTTATTATATTCACTTAATTTATATATTTATGCATTATTTTTTCCATATTAATTATATTACCAAATTATAATAATTATGATGAGTAATACTAATAACAAAACTGAAAATTTTCCTCAATTATATGAGATATTATTATATAAGAAAAAGAATATAACAGCTATTCAAAAAAAACTTGATATTAACAGTAATATAAATCAAATGACAGTGCTGGAGAGCAAGAAAGCAAAAAAACTTGATGATTCATATGAATTATTATTAGAATTGGTGGGAAATTTAATACTTATACAGGGAAAACTTAGTATAGATATCAATCCCATTTTAGAAGTGAAACTTAGAAGGGATAAAGCCTCTTCAAATAAACCAATTAGATTATTTGATTTGCTTTTATCTTTAGAAGATGATATAGTGGTAATTCAGGATAAACTCAGTATTATTAGTTATTCTAATCAAGAAAGGGCAGAAAAAGTTGATGAGAATGTAAGAGTACAACTACAAAAGCTTGAGAAATTTCACAGTCCATTAGAAGATGATCCAGATGTGATTTTACCAAAATATGATGAAATAGGGGTAAAGAAAATTTGATTTACTGGAGAGGGACTTCCTCTATTTCCAAATCTCACTCCTCAACAATTGCATGAAATTTTTGTAAAAAATTCAGCTAGCAACAATCAGTGTCCATATCTAGAATCAAAAGTAAAGAAGGGAAAATTATCACAGAAATATATACATCACAGCAAATAAAAATTCTTTGTCTAAAATTAGCTGGAGATTGTTGAATATCTGATTACCTGCTCTATTCTTCTATAGTTAAAATAATATACATCTTGCGATATTATTTAATGATGTATAATATAACCAAAAAAAATAACTAATAAATAATTATCTGCCTAAAGCCCTTGCCATGATCAATATAATTCTTGATCAATAGCTCAAGCAAGACTATTTAATAAATTAATTCATTTTGGGTTAGTTGAATTTGATACTTCTCTGATATAATCCCTAAATGTAGAAATTGAAATAAGTAGAGGTAAATCAGAAACTGAGAAATCATCATCAGAATAATTAGGATATTCAATTTTAATTTTAGGATTAAGTTTTTTTATCACTTCTTTACTAATCCCTTTACACCCTTCCAAACTAAGATATTTCAAATTAGTATAGTTGCAGACTATTTCCTTGACAGCTTTATTATCAATTGAATAATCACCAAGCTCAACATGTCTAAGTTTTGGATATGAGCGAGTAATTTCAGTGATATATCGATTAGTAAGGCATATACATGAATTAAAACTCAGATGTAATAGCTTTGGGCAATATCTTGTAATTTCTATAATTGGTATATTAGTAAAACTATTACTTTGATCAAGAATGAGAGTGCGTATATCTGGGTATGAGCGTAATATTGCACTAATTAACATATCTTTGATTTTTAAATCTTCTAATCTGAGATATACTATCTTGGAGCAATATGCTGACTTTGTTTTTTCACACATAACTTTTTTAAAGTTTATCAATTACTAAGAGCTCAAGGCATTTTTTAACTATACAGACCTCTCTAATAATCTTTTTTTGTAAAAAACTCAATATGATGCCATAGAATAAGAGCACTGCAGTGATACCAAAACTGATTAATAAACAAAGCGGGATAGAGAAATTGATCGATTTCTAAAAAATATAAGATCTGTTCTAGCAATTCTGGTAAATCAAAAATATTTAGACCCTTTGAGAAATTGAAGATTTGATACTTTGCATCATCATTACTCCACAATAGTTGTACCATTCTCAAGAATATATATATTATATATCTTTAATCAAAAAAACCAATGCTTGAATAATTAATTTTTCTTTTTTACTTTATGATATTACATGCTTTTATATATGTGTATATCTTCTGATCCTGAACTAGATGAAGAAATACCTAATTCAGAAGTATCAGAGTTAGTATCTGGTTCTGATTCTATAATAGAATACTTGACCTTATTTTTCTTGCTTTTATTTTGCTGTAAATGGGAATTAGAAGAACCTAACTGATTATTATGTAGCAATAAAGCTTCACTTCTATTAAATTTATATACAGATACTACTATGGATTTTTCTTTTCTTTTGGCAAGATTTTTGATATGAAGAGTTGTCCTTATCTAACCATCCTCTGCGTTAGTTATAATTTCTGCTTTATATATCTGGAGCTCTTTATCATCATATTTTCAACTAGTAAACTAATTAAACTCTAATATGATATGATTGGGAAATTCGGGATGATATTTTACGATTAATACCTGGATTGAAATTGTAATAAATATATATTATTTGCTAAATCAACTACATTCTACATTTAAAGTAAAAGTAAGTGGAATCATGGTCCATCCAATTAGATGTGTAGTTATCTCTCTGAAAAATCTACTATCTTTATCTTTAGAACTTATCTATCTAGTAATTTTTCTACCAATATGCTTGAGAATTTTATCGTTACATATAGTTAGCCCCAAAAATCCTGATTCGAGACAGCAGTTGACTTCTTGATCTCTAAATTTAGCTTTGGCTATTTTCATGGTAAGATATATTATATGATATATATTTGATTAAAAAAATAACTGAGTTTGGATAATTATTTTAGGCATATATACTATGCATTTTCTGGATATTCTTAATTATATAACTAGTTCTATCAAGCAATATAAGAGTTTTATTTGGGAAGTCCACTTTCATTATATTTTCCTGAAACCACGGCTGACCTAATATCAGTACAGAATCAAATTCAGATTTATTGGTAATAAAAATATTGGTAACTTTTACTTATTTCTATTTAGAGCCCTGAGATAGGATTGAAATAGGGATTTCACAAATTACTCCTACTATATCGAGTTTGCCAATAGGTGTGTACACTTCTACATCAGAGATATCATCAATTTCTAAATCTAATTCATTTATCACATTCTCAGCTATAATATTACAATTGCTAGCGGTATCTAATATAGTTTTAACTGGTACTTTGTTAATTTTGCAAGATAAAATTCTCATTATATTTTATTATGATAATATATTTAATTATATTTTTTGTGTATTAATAAATAATAATTCTGCATTTACAATAACTAAAGATAATATCAAGTCAGTTATAAAAGATAATATCAATAAAGCTAACATGGCCAATGCTATCTCATCTCAAGAATTTTGTAAAGAGTTAGATATATCAATTTGTAAGAATTATGTGGATGTATCAAAATAGTAACCAAGACTTTAACAGATTAGCAGAATACTATTGGGATAATATCCAGTATTCGTAGACAAGTATTAGATAAAAAAATTTGGATTTCTCTCTGCCAATTACTAGAGATAGTAAGATCCGAGATTTAGCAAGATATTATAAACTCAATAGCAAATCCAGATATTTCTCGACAACATATTCCATGCAAAGCTAGAAAAAAATCAATTTTTAATGATACCACATCTGAGTTCTCATCCATATCTGAATCTGGATCTAGTTCTGAATCATCTAATGATAATGAAGATTTTACTGTAGACATGGTAAAAGTAAAGAAGCATAATTAGTAATTGTATAGGTCTATAATATCCTCGACTTCATCATTCTCTTGCTTAGGTACTGGAATAATTGGTCTATTATTCATCACATCATAATGATCTGATGCTTCTCAATTTATTTTATGTCTTAATGCTAATTTACAAAGATGATTACATTTAGAGTGAGTCTTATCTTCATGAATTATAATAGCATGATCAGATCCGATTTTTCTCAAATATAATGAGTTTATTTCATAAATAGCTAGGAATTTATTAATTGGATGAATATTTATATCACCATCTTTATCTCTTATTAGAAATGGAAACTTCATCAGAATTGCTTTCTGGATCCAAATGAGTAATTTTCTAGCTTGTTCTGAATTTTTTTCCATAGATACAAATAGTTGGGGTTCATCTTTTGTATTTTTTGCATATCCAGTGCAGTACCAAGAATATTTAGGATCGTACCAATCAGCATTAGATAGTTTATAGTAATTAATACAAAGATTTGCAACATCTGCTGGTCTCATAGATAACATTATCATTATATCCATTAAATTTTGTATTGTAGGGGGGTTGGTAATGTTACAATTCTTAAGTCTTCTCTGAACATTTTTCAAGTAAAAGAATTCTGAACAATCAAACCCCTTATCTTCATGAAGTTCCTGATTTATTGCTTGTTCTTCATTTGATTTTTAAGTAATATCAGATATATATATTGCTTCTAATGTAAGATAATTAGCATCAAGCTTGCATAATTCTTTTCAAAATAATTTAAGATATGATGATTGGGCTATTACAGTAGGAGCTGTTTTAGCTAAGTTGGATCCTAGTATATTTATTTCTTCAGATTCAAGATTATTTTCATTATTCTTAATATATTGAGTGAGCTTTTTAACTGGATCTCACCTTATAACATATCTACCAGAAGTTTGGATAGAAATTAAAATATATGTTTGATCTTTGCTAAATCCTAATTTTTGGATTCTATTCCAAGCATGATTGTGGGCTTTATAATCTTTAATCTCTTTACATATTCTTTCAGCATAATTACCAAGCTTAGCTATGCTCATCTGAGGAGTTAAGTTATACTGATTCATGAAATTTGTTGCAACTTTTGACATTGTTGTTATGGTATAATTATGTGGATTATAACTATGGAAAATATTTTTTCAAATCAAAATTAATTATTCCAAGTCAGTATATATATCCAAAAATTGAATGGGTCATGATTATTGTAATTCTATCAGAAAATGGACGTGAACAAGACACGAGTTCAATCAAAAGTTTTAATCTATATATGTCAGATATATGATACATGTCAATACTTTGGATCAAATCTGTCAATTTGAAAGTTACCAATATATAGGATATAATGAAAAAATTATAGCTTTGAGTTATGATAACTCAGGCTATATTGCATATCAAGTTACTAGATAACATGTTTTATTTTTTGTTATCTTTAATAACTGCTTTGCTAATATATTTCTCGAATGGTGATGGAGGAATTAAGAGTCCTTCTTCTTCCCAAAGCACATATCTATCACGTATCATTTTATTATATGTTGGTCTATTGATTGTAATTATGCGATTTATTTTGGGGTTATAGATTTTTGGCTTTCTTCAACGATTAATTAATTTTGATAATTGCTCAGCAGTAATCATTTCTTTATTGTATTCTGGCTCTTTAGTGTACAATTTATACATTGTTTTAGTGTGGTATATAATGTTAATATATATTTGATTATAATATTACAAAATAATTTGGAAAAGTTTAAATTGATTTTTATATACTATACATGAAAATGTGAGTAAAAAATATATTAGTATTTATACAAAGTTTTATAGAATATGAGAGGTTATAAGCAATACTTTGAATAGTATCTTCAACACATAATATATTATTATAATTTGAAAAGATTTAAATTAGTTTTATATTAAATATATTTGCATAAAAAATAAAATGGGTTTTATACGTTATACATTAAAATACTTTGAATGGGGTATTTAACTGATCAATATGTTAAAAAAGATAGTTTGGGCATTTAACCTGTCCATATATT